AGAGTTTTATGGAGAAAATGGTCTTCCTTTCCCCATTTTCTTCACAAAAAAAAAAAAAAAAAGAATGAAAACAAGGTGGCAATTTTTTCATAATAAATTAAAACATAAACTTAAATGGAAAGGAGAAAAGACACAAAACACCACCTAAGCATTAGTAACATTAAATGATACAATACAATCAGGCTATTGGCAATTTGGCGTTAAAATATTATGGATATTAATCAGCAAAACACATGGGCATTATTTTTTTTGTCAGAGAATATAAATATAAATTATATACATAACCATTATTGAGGTCTTAAAAATCACAAACTGTATATGACAATAGGCAGATAATGGACTCTCTAAACAATTTTACCTTATAAAGTTCTTCATCAAATTGGGCTAACTGTGCACACTTGGACATTATATCTTTTCTCATGAAGAAAGGAGTGTGCAATAAAGTATACTGCCTTTGATCCAAAAAATCAAGCCCAAAGTTGATGAGAGCTTGATTAAGACGAACACCATCTCCCTTTAGATAGAAACCTCTACCTCCAGCTACATCAGCTCCTATTATGTATATCAAGCAACTTAATGTAAATGATTATGATGATGCATGTAGAGAAGATAGGAGCAGAAATGCAGAAACTATGGAAAGCAATGACTAGCACTGCTGAAATGCAACAGTGCTCCGTTGTATTCTGCAATATTAGATTTTTATGCCACAAAGATTACAAATCAAAATACTCGATACCTTTTGCAACCAAGATTGGGTCACAGACACTATTCAAAACATGTACTATAGCAATCGCCAAGCCAATCATACAAAATGAAAAGGTTCAGGAGTAGACTAATAGTTGCTAAAGTGTTAAGTGAAATTGAATGCTAGCTTTATTGTAATTACATGAAGAAGAAAATGGCAACATCCTGACACAGAATTGCATGCTCGCATGGAACATGACAAAAAACCACAACACAATTCCAAAATTAAAAAGTCAGATCCCAAGCCCCCGCCCCACAAACCTTTCATTGTGCACTAGAAGCATAAATAACCACTTGAACACCAGAAGAATAAATTCAAACCTTTCTTTGTATCAGCTATCCCGAGAAGCTCAACTAGATCCACATGATTCTTTAGCTTAGGCTCCACCCTTTTCTCCCCCCACGACCTAACCACGACATTGTTGGCCTAAAGCATACAAGACCACGTGATTTTAATTCAAACATAAATCACTAGCAGAATTAAAACAAAACACACATACAAAAAAAACACAAAAACGAACCTCATCGTTGCTAACTGGAACGGAGTCGTGGACGAGGTTTCCAATTGTTTCCAACTTGGAATTCAAGAGGTTGAGAGTCTCCCGAACTTCAACCTCTTTCTCCGCTATCGATTTCTTGGTCTCCTCCGATTCCTTGATGAACTTAGAAGCGTCCTCGCCGGCCTAACACGCGCAATAACATTCAGTAATTGGCGAAATGAATTCATTCAGAATTAAACGAAGACACTTACGCGCTTGAGTTTGGAGACTTCCTTGTTGATCTTGTTGAATTCCTTGCGGAGAGTCTCCAATTCGAATTGACCTGAAAAAGCATACATGACAGACGGCATTGATGGGAGATTCGATTGGTCGGAGAGAAGAGAAAGAGAGAGAGAGAGTACGCTTTCGCCATTCTTTGTCGAGATTGATGACCTCATCGACGATTTCGACGCTGGCGAAACGACGGCGTTGGGATTCGCGGATGAGTTGAGGGTTGTGACCCTTCTCCTCTCTGAATAGGTTGATGTCCAACATGCTTCTCACGCCGCCTTGCCTTCTTCACTCGCAACGACTCACACTGTAAGAATCAGAGACAGGGTTTCGCAGCTTAACAACACAAAGGGTTCTTTTATTTTATGTTTTCTTCACTCGCCCAAAACGAAATGAAATTAATAATAATGAATTTTATGACTGGACTCTTTTATTTTCGTTAGTCAATTTTACTTCATTTTCTGCCTCCCGAAATTAGGGGAAATGAGAAAATTAAAAGGGGATTCTCAAATAAATAATAAAAAAGCAAGTTACAAACTTAAAGGCTATAAGTGAAATATATAAGATCACGTTTGAAAACATATTTTAGAATTTTTTGTTTTAATTTTTTTTTTAAGAAAAGGAGAAAAAAATTGAGAAGCTTTTCAAAGAAAATCAAAACTACTTTCAGTTTAATTATTTTTAAAACTGAAATGTAGAAATAATAACTATGCGTTATTTTTGTTTCCGCATCTTTTTTTAATTTTGGAAATAAGTTACTGTCTGAATGATAAAAAAAAAATGGAAATAAGAAAAAAAAAGTATTTTCTTAATAATATATATATATAACGAGGAGGGTTATAATTACATCGATGTAACTTTTACTAAGTATTATACTGCTCAGTAACTCTATATTAAATGTAAATTTTGTAAATCCAGCCATTAGATTTTAAGTTTTTTACTCTTAGATCATATATACAAAATTTTATATTAATCCAAGATGATTTGATACTTCATTCTTATAAAACAAAATTAATGTAATATATTTATTTCAAAATATACTAAAATATAAACACTTTGATTACCTTCAAGTTGTTGTTCAATTTTAACAAAATTTGATATATACATATAAAGTGATATGAATTTTCAATCTAACGGTTAGACTTACAAAATTTACATTTAATATAAAGTTATTAAGTAATGTAATATTAGTATATATATATATATATATATATATATATAGATATATAATACATACACGTGTATATTAATCATTAGTCGTTAGTTTTGTGACAAATTATGCTTATGAAAAAAAAAATATAATACCTAATTATTAATGATATGTATATAATTAGTGAAAACAATTCCTTAAGGATGGTGTAAAAAAAATAAACTTACCAACATAATTGATTTTTTGCATTGATTGATGATATTAAAGTGGGATTAGTTGTATTTTTTCTCTCATTAATGACATATTATATGTATAAAATTGACAATAATGAAAATATCTTTAAAAGATAAAATGTATTCATAAATATTAATTAAGAAATTAACGATTGATAATTATGATAAGATAAAATATAAGATTAATTATAATATTTATTGTTAAATTTTTAATCAATAATTATAAATATATTTTATTCATAAAATAAAAAAATTACTATAGAAGAGTCAAATCTATATTTTATGATTTCAACTTTGATTTATTGTTATATTGTCATGGTTAACAAATACTTACCACGTTTATTAACATACAATAAAAGAAGTATATTAATAAATTATAATTATAATATTTTTTAAAATACACTCAAGTGTAAGTTACTAATTTACTCTTTAAAAAAAAATAGGTGATGTAAGTTAGTAAACTTCATATATACTAGTAGATAACATGTGTGATACATGGATAATATTAATAATGATTAGTATTTTTATTTTTAGAATATTAATAAATAAGGAATTTGTTGTTTAAAAAATTAAAAAATAAGACATAAACACAAGTTTTAGGTATCATTGAATTGAATGATTTGCTGTGTAAAATCATGGTTAGTAGCATGAATGTAATTATTTTCAAAAGGTAAACAATAATAAAAAAAATTTCCAAATAATAACGATATATTTCACTTTTAATCGAATCAAAACATATTTGAAACATTATAAAATCGTATCAACAATAAAAATTACGTCAAATAGGTTCAATTGATAGAGAAATTACTCATTGTAGGCTTTAAGATAGATACTCAATAGTATATAAAAAGTTAGAAGAGTACATGAGTTTCACGGATTCAATTGATATAGAAATTACTCCTTATAACTTCAGTTGGAAGGAGAGAGAATGTTGATACATGTTATAAGTTTGGTTCCAAAAATAGACTTTCAATAATATACAATCAGTTATAAAAGTAAATGAGTATCCCATTTGTTAAAACAATGACAACAACAAAACTTTTTTGATGAAAATTATTGTGAGTTGGAACTTCCTTTTTATTCTTCAAATTGTATTTCTTTATTTGCTTTTCATTTTAACCCCAATGTTCCTTCATTATTGTTAATCATAGACACTCAAATTTAGAATCTTCTATTGTCTAATTCTTGGCACACAATATATATATATAGGAGCATATCAAGTGAGAGAAAATTTATTATGAGAGATGAGAGGGTTAAAATATAAACCTTATATTAATTTCCTCTCACTTGATTAATCTAAGAGTTATATTTTAACTCTCGATATATATATATATTATGATTCTCTTTCAGTTTAGGATAGAGTTGGAGGCTAGCAAATTTATTCATCCGGACACTATTCTTCTAAATGTCATTGTAACTTAAATTTTTTGTTAAATATATCATTTTAAAATTATAATTTCAATTTTCGGTTAATGAAATATAACATAGAGGATTCAATAATAGACTTTGAATGGTTACAAAAATCAATATATTAAAACTTTATACTAATTAATACTTATTTTAAAACAAATATAAAAACTCCTTAAATATTAAAATATAACGAATACAATTTAGAATAATACAACACTATTTAACTGAAATTTATTATCATGTTTTGGTCTAAATTTAAAAATATTACTTATAAAATTAAATTTAAAAATTAAAATATATGAAACGTAAAAATCAATGAGTTTCATTTTTAGTTGTCAAATCAATTATTTGTAAAAACTAATTATATATTCAATTCGATTTATTTTCATTAATTTTGCAAAAGGTTTTCTTAATCAAGTTTTATTAATATTTTTTTATAATTTATTTGAATTTTAAATCTTGAAGTAATTAGATTTCTGTCAAACTATTTATTTTTATTCAATTTAGTTCATTTATTTTGCAGAAAATAAATTTAATATTATAATTTTAATTTTTTATTTGGGCTATAATCCAAGCTCTATGTCTAATAATCCCCAAAATACTTTCTATATTGGTAAGAATGACGGGTTTTATGTCACATCAAATGCATTACAGCTTACACTCTCATTGTCACCGACAAGTAGTTAGTGGTCATTGCTAAAACTATTAATAATTTAAATCATGCCAAAAAAAACTATTGTGTAATATTGTTAAGGGAAGAATCCCAGTTACTTTACAACACCAGTATCTTTGATAATTACGCAATATCATTCCCTCTGCATAACTGGATCGTATCCAGAATTATACTCTATGCAGTACTATAATTCAATTATCACTAGTAATACATCTTACACCCGTAACATCTGGCTATTGTTCTAAAGCTTCCCCTGAAAGAATGGTAACCTATTTAAGAAAGAATGAACTTAATCGGTGACTTTGCTTGATCCGACTCAATAGCATGATTTGCATCCCATACACAATTCCTTTCGCTACAACTGCTGCCAGAGGCCTCGCCCCACTAACAAAACAATGGATCCCGCCACAATCTCACTGATTTTTCTTAAACTCGAAACAACACACTGAAAAATCGAAAGGAATATTCTCCTTTTTGTGAGAGACATAGTTGAATTGGCAGGTGTTACTTCTCGGGAGGATCTGAACTTATTAGATTGATCCACAAGTTCGCAAGCTTGACGAAGTAATGCTTCCCATTCCATGACACCAAATTAAACCCTGATCCACAAAAATCATGTGGAAAATAAATTACGAGGCCAAAAAATCATGTACGTGTTGAGACTTCACCAATCCATTTTTGAATGAAAAACATCATACCTATTTCGTCATCATTTAATTACCTTTATAGAATATAGTTCATAAATTTTATGTTTAAAACATCTCATTTTAATCCTTATACATACTATTTTTTTGTTCCTTTTTAATTTCTGTTGTTATTGGTATAAGAACTAAATAGTAAAGCTTATATAAAGAGTAAAAGAAAATAAAAATGGTAAATATAGGAACTAAAATGAAATGTTTTTAACTATATGAACTAAAAGATAAACTTTACGAAACTATAAGGGTCAAAAGAGTAATTAAACCTTTAATAATAGCAATCAAAGCATAGCTTTGTAGCTATCAATCCAAACAGATAATAAGGAAAGTGTAAATTGGTGTTAAAAAGATGTCAACATATAACATAATGCAGAAAGACTCGTTCCAACATTGATCCTGCAGCACCTGCACCCTATTTTGTTTCATTTTTTTTGGTTATGTCAGGTGTTTTTTTTATAATTTAGTCCTGCAGGTCCACTCCATGATAATATCATCGGAGAACAAGCGAGAGTTCAACAGATCAACTGCTATCATGTCTGTTTAGCTAACAAGAAAAGATTTCACTAAAGTGGCTCTATGCGGCAAATGGCTAAAGTAGCTAAGTTGAAGTGTCCTAAATATCAATATCAAATACTAAAACACATGGGAAATTTTCACGATTAAAAAGATTTTATATTGCCTAATCACTATTAATGGGCATTTGCACACCTTTATACATACCGAGTTGTGACAATTTGTATGGAATTCTTTTTCATCAAAAACATAAATTATAAATAAAATATTATCACTTACATTTCAAAGTCAAGATTATCGTGCACATACCTGGTATGAAACCAGCTGACAAGGCGGACAACTGACAAGTAGTTTGTTCTCCAGAGATGACATAGCTCTGAAGTGCATGCTCATCAAGCTCGTGAATATACTTGATGGATTCAACTAATTCCCTTGAAATGTCATCTGGCTCAATGTTATTCTGATTTGATATACTCAGAAGAGCTTCTTCAAGTCCTGAATCCAACCATATGCTATAACACTCATTCAGAAGGGCACATAAACTTTTAGGATCTAGGGAACCTGATAACATCCAGGGTTTGTAAAGTTTGGCTGAAGCTCCAATAATTTCTGCCACCCTATAAATTTCTCCGAGTGCAAGGATATACTGAACACCTGTCAACACACCACCCCCAGAAAAGTAAGAGGTTATTCAAGACTCCTCAAGTTCATCTACACCATCAACATATACAATTAAGCATGACATAATCATGTAGCTTACCTTTCCGGTTAGATAATATCTGGTCATGGATATTTTGTAGTACAGCTTGCTTCCAAACATAAGCACCATGTTTCAGCTCTTGAGAACAAACAGAGGCTATTTTGGACCATATGGTAAGATACATAGATTGTACTTCTCTTGATCCCAGCTTGAGAATATTTAAAGTTGATACTGTATCTTTCAAAAGTTCCATGGCTGATTTAATATCCTTCTCGGCCTATTCAAATACAAATGTAATCACTAATCATGCAATAATAAGTGTTGTCCAGCTGAATAGTCCAGTAAGAAAGAAGGTTATCTATAAATAACACAACAAAATATAACAATTATCCATCAAATTAATAGTAGGATAAATAGCAGTACATCACTCTGACAAAAATGTCTAAATCAGTTATGTAATCATATATTTCTGTTTGAAAGTTGAAACTATCAAAATCCTCCAGCAGATATAGTACTATTTGTACAAGCAAAAGAATAAAACTTGAAAAATAAAACACTCAATATTTTCAAGAAATAGACATACCGCCAACAACCTTGATGCTAGCTGGTATTCTGACTCAACAGTTTGGAACTTAGCATCCTTCAAAACTTCACAAAGCTCATCAAAGTGGACATTTCTCGGGCAATAATCCTCTGAGAGATATTCATTGGGGATGCTCATATTATCCTGACACAGTATCTTGGAGTATTCCTACAAAAGAAAAGAGTAGAAACAATGCTGAAACTATTAATAACTTGTCCATTTGATTAATAACAAGCAAATAATAACCACACACAAATACACAAGCAGAAGAAAACCAGATTCACAATAACATACTGCTAATAGCTCAACTCAATCATATTTGATGGGGGGCCTTTGACCCAATGAACACAAGTCACAGGCAAGCCATTAGGTCTGGGGTTCTGCTAGCTTTGTGCCAAATTCAGCCAGGCCTACCTCCAGATTCTCCCATTTCCCACATGGAGAGAATCCTATTCACCTATCCCCTTCCCAGGGTTTTATATTTACTAATGTAAGGGAAAAATAAGTAGCCAAAAGCAAAAAACAACAATATTAGATTGGGAAATAGATAACAACAAAATAGTTCATATATTGACCTGAATTTCCTCCTTAAGAGCTTTGGCTTTGGCTTCTTCACCCGAAAGAGCAGCAACATTTTGAGTTTCCTAAGAATATTAATTTATGAATAATGTCAGGGCCAGTAAGTATTAGCACTGTCTAACAAAGAAAGACCACAAAAGGCTGGTTACCTTGAGATTCTGAAGATGGAACAGAACATAATTGCTCAATTCATCCTTCAATTCGCTATAAAACTCCACATAATCAATCTGCTCTAATTTTGTTGATAATTGTGTCAGTGGTGAATCTATGTGATCCAGACTTCCTGTTCCAGAGATGGCATCCTTAAATTCCCATGAATCATCCTCAAAATCATCATCAGCGTTGGTCAAATCAGAATTTAAAACTGTTGGGGAATACTGCAACCCATTCTCATTGGCTTGCGCATGATTTAAAGAAGTTTTCTGCTCAAATTCATGGGAAGATCTGGTTCCAGTTGAAGCATCCTTAAAGTCCCAGAAGTCATCATCACCAGTGACCAAACTGGAGCCTGACACTTCAGGGGAGGCATGAATCTGATTTTCACTTGCTTTTGGAGCCACATTATGAGAAGTTTGGTTTTCAGCTTGATTATATAAATTCCATATGTCATTGATAGATAAGTTGGAACTAGGGCTATTAGTGTTGTTCCTTACTGGGGATGTTGGTGTATAGGGAGATAAATCTTGAGACACGGGATGTTCATCACTATCTGGTATCTCATCACCAAAAATTGACAAAGGCAAGGCTTCCCTACGATTCTCTGAGCTTGTTAGGGGCTTCTGAAAAGAGAAAGAATAGTAACAAGGACAACATGTTTAAAATTTAAAAAGTATGAAGACTTAGTTGAGTGTTAAATAAAACAATGTCATAAGACAAACTCATGAAAAAATTTCTGGGTCTTTGAAACCAAAGTTAGAACTCAAAAATCAAGATTTAATATCCTTTTTTTTAAGAAATAAAACCTATACAATATCACATGATATATAAAATATGATATCAAACTGATTCAGTACCTCGTGTTTTGTTCCGATTTCTGAAACAGCACTCCCTGATTCAAACAAATTGACATTTGAATCAACATTTATATTAGTTGGGGAAGCATTGCTTTTGTTATCATCCTGATTGTTTTTGGTCTTGAAGTATGACTCTGAACTATGACTGTCTTCACCCACAGAACTAGAATTGAAATTAAATCCGAAGTTCCATTCATCAGATTGATGAGATACTGATGTGAGAGATGAATCAATAGTACCATGGGAAGTTGCACCATCAAATTTGAATAAGTCAAAATTAGTGGGATAAATGTCAGCTTTCTTTGGTGCCTCCTAATACCACAAATACGAATCAGATTGTGCTAATGGACATTTCTCAATAATCTGAATGAACAATGTGACACAAAATGAGGAAATTATAAGTGTAAAAACAACTCACCAAATTTTGATTTGATCCTGACCCTGCACTCAACTCCCCAAAATTTTGATTGAACATGGCAAACCCAGTTCCAACATCATTCGATTCACCTTTTGGAACCTGCTGTGGGTTCATATGACCTTGTGATGCAGAACTTGGACTGAACTCAAACTCCAGGTTCCACCCACCAGCTTTGTCAGAAACCCCATTCCCAATGGATGAATCCAACAGAGTCCCAACATCAAGAGCACCATTATCGTGCTTTGGCACTTCTGCCTTTAAAATAGAATGCATATTATCAGGCAAATGAAATTCATTACATGAATAATATACTCTAAATAATTTAACGACATATTAAGCATAAGTGTTAATGTGATGAGATATTGAAATCAATCTCTAGCCCAAGAGCATACCCCGACCCCCTTAATGTACTTCAAATCATAGATCCCGATCGGCAATGCCAAAAACGACTTCAAGACACAAAGTTACTACACCAGCACATAATTCAAGCATGCATAACAATTGCTCTCATCTCAGTACAATTAAATCAGTCAGCCCTTGCTCCAACCACGGGAAGCTTCTAAAAAAATCACATAATTCGTATAGTACATACATACTACATAGCTTTCCTAAACCTCGTTTTTATCCACTAACAAATCTGAAGCTAAGGAAAGATCAATCAATCATATAACTATCTCTTAAGCTTCAAGTTCAATAATCCACAACCTGAAATAAATTCCGTGTATTACTATTACCTTAACATCGTGGCTCTTGTTTCCAGTTTCCCATTCCGCAGACTTGAATTCCCACCCATCCTCATCCTCATCCTCTTCCTCATCCGGATTCAACTTGCTTCCGTTCGAGTTCGCTGGTCCATCGGCGCTTGGATTCGGAGCAGCAACATCGGATACCGAAACCGATCCGTTGTGATTATACAACCTGGAAATCAAATCAGTGATTCCAACGGAACCGTTCGCATCGGATCCCTTTTTCGCAGCAGCACCGTTGGAGAAAACATCAGCGGAAGCGGGTTCCTGTTTCTGCTGCTCCTCTTCCTCCTCCTCGCCGAAGATCGAAAGCGGAATAGCTCCGTTAGGCTTCTTCGGAGCCTGAACGGCGGCGGCGTTGGCGTCGTTTACGTGGCTCTTGGGAGGATCCGGGAACGGGTGGGAGGGTTTCGAGAGGTGGCCGTTGGAATGGTTCACGAAGTCGCTCCAAACGTCGTCGTGGAGAGGATTGGTGTCGTTTTGGGTTGGTTGACTCGGAAACGACGCGAACGTGAAGTCGCCGAAGCTCTCGTCGTCTTCCTCCTCCTCCGCCATTGGCTCCGAGCGTTTCTTTCGTTCGGTGTCGATAAACGCTTTTGGCGTTTCAGTTACCGAAAATTGTTATGTTATGTTATGTTATGGTTAACTTGACTACATCACGTGTAAATGTAATCGCAGTCGCATTACTTCAGGTGTGTGTGTGTGTGTGATGTGAATGATTAATGCTAATCATGGAATAAATAAGTAAAAATACGATGCATTTACTTTATTAGAAAATTACTTGTTTGTCTTGGAAATTCACCTATCAACTTATCATGGCCCTTTATAATTCATTTGAGAATTACACCTGCTTAAATAATTAGGATTTATGTCACTACAAGTACATAGTCGACTATTTCCGGAAAATTATAAAATGCTTGGACTCATTATTAGTAGTAGTATTCAATATTTTTCTCTTTTTAAATAAAATTTTAGCCGGCCGTGTTTGGTTTAGTTTTTTTTTTTTTTTTTTTAAATGTATTTTTATTTTGATGTAATTGTAAAATGAATCATCAAGCACTTATCAAATTGGCCTTGGTCCTTGATGGGTGTTGCAATGCAATCGCATTTTCATACTTAAAAGTGGTTGTCCTTGTGATTGAGGAACACATGTGTCCCTTGAATCTATTTCAATGTAATTCAGTGTCTTTAAATATCTTGAAACGCTCTT